GAGGGAGAAGCAGACTCCCCGCTGAGCACAGAACCCAATCTGAGACTCTATCCCAGGACCCTGAGATAATGCCCTGAGCCCAAGTCAGATGCTTAACAGACTGAGCCACCCAGGCGCCCCTGGAAGAATGCATTTTAAATGTCTGGAGGAAAGGACTGGGAGCCTGAGGAACTTACTTTTTCATTGTACGTCCCTTTGCACTATTGGATTTTTTTTCTTTTTTACCATGAGCGTATATTTACCAACGAGGAAACTGAGGCTCAAACAAGGTTAAGTAACTTGCCCAAGGTTACACAGGTAGTAATGAAACTAATAATACACAAGTAGGAACTGTTCAGCCAATCAATAATACATTGCTGTTTCTAAGTATAGACCTTTGAACATATCCCTGTTAAATTTCATCATTTGTATCCATAGGACCAGTTGGCCAGGCTCTTTTTGTATCATGATTCTAGATCCATTGCATTCATCTTTATGATACCCTTAAATCTGGCAAGCATGCTTTCCAAGTTTCCACCCACATTATTGATGAAAATGTTTAACACATGACAAGGCTTTAGCAGAGCTCTGCTGGTGAGACTAGGATCCCTCCAGAATCTCATCAATCCATCTCTTTGGGTAATGAGGTAGCTACCAATCCAACTGATTGTACCATCTAGCAATTCCACTCACATCCCCCCATTTACCCTTGCCCAAAGGTTATCTGAAGAGCCAAATGTTTTACTACAAAGTGTCCATAGCATTCCCTTGCTCAGTGAGCTATTCTGAAACCTCTTTTATGGTGGGGATTTAAAATTAATAAATGATTGGTTTCTTTATTATGTTCTGCAGGCTTCTGAAGTTTACAACCTAGCCAAACCCCCAGAACTCAGACAGTTTCAGGAAGACTGATCTCCACCCCCAAATTTCTCATAACACATTTGAACAGAACATTTTAAAAAGCAGAGATATACAACTGTTTCCCCACTGGAATCAACCCACTGCCACCCAAAATAACCCAGACAACTGAACACAACAGCTGGCGAAAGGACAGCCGTCTCTAGTCATGGGGGGAAGGGAGCTAAATGCACGCTAGGGGAGAAGTGCTCTCTGCAACAACCCCTTGCTCTATTTCTAGCCATAACACACAGGCTATAGTCAAAGTCAAAGTCAAAGAAGACCATAGTTTCTGCCTTCCCCTCTAATCACACACTATGGCACTGAATGTACATGGGTAACCTTAACTGAACACAACTGCTAAGTTTCTGAAAAATTTACTATAAAGCAGAATTTAAGGAATTCATTTTTTCCTTGACTTGCCCACCAAATTGGAGTCACACTGCCCTGCAAAGAATTTTGTCCCCTGATGATTAAAAAAAAAATTACACTCGGGGCGCCTAGGTGGCTCAGTCGTTAAGCATCTGCCTTTGGCTTGGGTCATGATCCCAGGGTCCTGGGATCGAGCCCCGTATCAGGCTCCCTGCTCTGCGGGAAGCCTGCTTCTCCCTCTCCCACTCCTCCTGCTTGTGTTCCCTCTCTCGCTCTCTCTCTGTCAAATAAATAAAAATTTTTAAAAAAATGAGGGCAGAATAAATTATTTAAAAAAATTAAAAAATAAAAAAATTACACTTACAAATGCAGCAGAATTTTCAATTACATATTTTAGAGAAAACGTGATTAATACTAAAATAATAAATAACATGTTTTACTCAAAATGTCACAGAATAGAATGACTAAAAGCTAAAACACAGTAAAATGTCAGAGATTCCAGTCATAGGATGACTTAGCTAATATTGTCTCACATGTTGTTCCACTATGAAAGCTCAGTTTTGCACCATTTCTAATATTTTCCCCATTTTAGATTTGCCATCCCCTTCTCGGACCTCTTCATCAGATGAAGTCCGTATCGTTTGTTAAAGGATTTGCTTTAGGGGCGTCTGGGTGGCTCAGTTGGTTAGGTGTCTGCCTTCAGCTCTGATTGTAGTCTCAGGGTCCTGGGATCAAGTCAATGGGCTCCCTGCTCAGCGGGGAGTCTGCCTCTCCCTCTGCCCCTCCCCGCCCTTGTGCGCAAGCACGCGCATAAGTGCGCAAACTCTCTCTCAAATAAATAAATAAAATCTTAAGGAAAATTATTTGCAGGGCATCTGGGTGGCTCAGTCGGTTAAGCCTCTGCCTTTGGCTCAGGTCGTGATCCCAAGGTTCTGGGATCCAGCCCCAAGTCGGGCTCCCTGCTTAGCAGGGAGTCATCTTCTCCCTCTGTGCTCTCTCTCTTGCTCTTTGTCTGAAATAAAATATTTTTTAAACATTATTTGCTTTGATGGACGATAACAATGTATAAAATAGGTCTGTTTAGGGACGCCTGGGTGGCTCAGTCCGTTGGGTGGCCGCCTTCTGTTGGGGTCATGATCCCAGGGTCCTGGGATCCAGTCCCGCATGGGGCTCCCTGCTCAGCGGGAAGCTTGCTTCTCCCTCTGCCTGCCGTTCCCCCTGCTTGTGCTCTCTCTCTGACAAGTAAATAAAATCTTTAAAAAAAATAAATAAAATAAAAATAAAAAAATAAAATAAAATAGGTCTGTTTAAATATGCAGTTGACTGGCAGCTGCTTAATGTCCCAAAAATGATTAGTAAACTAAACTGTGACTCTACTATTCCCAACCTAATGGTTAAAATGGTTGTATTGCTCACTAAGCCATGTTAATGTACCAAAACAGTGGCTGTTGAGACTGGCAAAATGCCGATCAAAGTTACTCTTTGCTCTCATTTATCATTCCGGGATAGAATAATGATAGCTAACTTTTACTGAGCATTCACTATATACTATATCCCAGATACTGTGGGAAGTGTTTTACGTGTATTTTCACATTTAGGGCTGATAACAACCCTATAAAATAGAAAGCACTGTTATCCCCATTTTATAGAAGAAACCGAGGCACAGAGGGGCTAAACAATTTAACAAAGATCACGTAGTAAGTGGTAGAGTCTCATATGAAGCCACACTAATTTCAGAGCCTGAACTCAACCACTACCCTAGGAAAAGAATGGGGCCTTTCTTTCTTTCTCTCTCTCTCTCTTTTTTTAAGATCTCATTTTTAAGCAATCTCTACACCCAACATGGGGCTTGAACTCACAACCCTGAGACCAAGAGTTGCATGCTCTACCGACAGAGCCAGCCACACCTCTCCGAATTGGGCACTCTTGTTGATGATGGATGGGGGAATAGATATAACGGCAGCAACTTTTTCTTTTTAATGAGGTTGCAAAAAATACACACACACACAAATGAGGTTGCTGTTTGTATTTACTAAATGAATTTCTTGATTTCGGAGTTTCTCTAAATCAATCAATGACAAATGAGAGAAACCCATCCACTTCAGTTGGACTCTGTCAATGTATCTGTAAAGGGCTTTTAATTAGATTACAACTGAACTCCAGCACCTCCACTCCAGTATTGTAGCTCTGATGTCTTTAGGATAAGTGACCGACAGCACATCTTTTGAGAAGGGCTATGAAGAGAAATGGGAAAAACTGTTTTCCTGAAGCTTGACTGAGGGGTATGCCAGGAAAGGCCTGGATATACATTTACCAGGAGCACTTTAATTCAGTGCTCTTAAGACGCAACTCTCTTTTGCATATAAACTATTGAAAATCCGGGGCACCTGGGTGGCTCAGTCGGTTAGGCATCTGTCTTCAGCTCAGGTCATGGTCCCAGGGTCCTGGGATCGAGCCCCACGTCAGGCTCCCTGCTCAGCGGGAAGTCTGCTTCTCCCTCTCCCTCTGCCCCTCCCCCCGGCTCATGTGCTTGCTCTCTCTCTCTCAAATAAATAAAATCTTTAAAAAAAAAAAAAGAAAATCCTTACACAGCTAAGAATAACAGTCCTCCCTCTACACTATATTCAATAGAACACAATTCTAACTAAATATGTTAATATACCTAATACTGATATTTTAGATTATTGTTTTATAGTTAAATAGTCATATTAGAAAATAGGGATTCTAGGGCGCCTGGGTGGCTCAGTCAGTAAAGCATCTGCCTTTGGCTCGAGTCATGATCCCAGAGTCCTGGGATGGAGTCCCACATCGGGCTCCCTACTCAGCAGGGAGCCTGCTTCTCCCTCTCCCTCTGCCTGCCAATACCCCTGCTTGTGTGCACATGCTCTCTCTCTCTCTCAAATAAATTCTTAAAAAAAAAAAAGAAAGAAAATAGGGATTCTAAAACAATGATCTTTTTTTTTTGAGTGATGTACTTAAAAATATATATACTAACTTGGGCGCCTGGGTGGCTCAGTCTGACTCTTGATTTCAGCTCAGATCATGATCTCAGGGTCATGAGATCGAGCCCTGCATCAGGCTCCACACTGGGCATGGAGCCTGCTTAAGATTCTGTCTCTCCCTCTCCCTCTGCCCCTCCCCTTCTCTCCCTCTCAAAAAAAAAAAAAATCTATATAGCTATAAACACACACACACCCTCCCCAATTGAGCTGCATCCTGACCTCTGAATTACATACAGGTCCTTCTTCCAACCCCCCAGTTTCCAAAATAACCTCTCTTCTCCATAAAGTCTCTCAAAGTCCCTCTTGAATAACAATTGCCTGACTAAAACAAAACCAGTCCTACATCTTTTCCCCTAAAGCATATGCAAATCACCGATCTTTCACTCTCGCTCTAAAATAAATCTACTCTCCACATCCCAAATCAGTAACTGCTTTTATGCTGTGTCTCTTGATTTAGGAGAGGTAACAATTATTATTATTTCTAGTATTAGTCATGGTTTCCAGAGAATAGCAAGGCTATAATTCACGCTTTACTGCAATTGGTAAATCAGGCAAGTGAAAAACAGCAGAAGCCCATAATTTAAATCCTCTTTAAGTTCTTTTTTTTTTCCAAGTACAATTTTTTAATAAAGATAATTACAAAAGATGGAAAAATCAGCTCAGAAAGGCCAAATTACTTCTTTAATAGATCAGTTTTTGACATAATAACTCACATCAATTTTAAATACTATCACATAAAGCATGGTGGAGAAAAGAAATTTTCCTTCATAATTAGAAAACTCAATAAAACTTGCCAAGAAAAACAAAAACAAAAAAAGCCATTTTGAAAATAAATACAGTCCATGCCAAAGTAGTATAAAATGAAGCCAGAAGTCTTCAAAAAGAAAAAATTTGTCTTCCCAATATTTTTTCCCTTTTATGGTTTCTGAAATTGGTGAGACATTCAAATTCAAGGGTTGCTGAGCTGTTCTGGTTTGGCTCCTTTGGTATCTGTTTTTTTACCACTACTGTCCTTGGATTTATCTTCTTCCTTAACATCTGCTTTTTTGTCCTCTGTTTCCTTCTTGTCTTCCTCACTTCTAGCTTTCTTTGCTCCTTTCTTATGATCAGCCACATTTCTATGTCCCTCCTTCTCCTTCATCCTCAGAGTCTGAGAATTCTTCATCACAAGCTATCCGTTTGTCTGATGCTCGAATAGAAATTCTCTTGTCTGGATCTTCTCCATCTTCATCTCCGCTGTCTTCATGAACAGCATCTTCTGGAATAGCTTGCATCTGGACGCCAGGTGCATGAGGTAACATGCGTAAATTTTCAAATAAACGCTGTTTTATCTTTTCCATATATTCTGGAGTGTTCTGGTTTGTCATGTTTGAAGGACTAATATGCAGTCTGAAGTCTGGGCCAAAATACTCAAAGTAATCATTATATGGCAATTCACTGGGAATCTCACAATCAAGGGGAACTGCAGTCTCGTATGTCCAACATCGAGCAACATTACGAATTGTGTTTCCACCTCCCCCAAGCATCAGTAATGGTAAATTGAAAGTTTTCACAACTTCTACACATTTAGCATGACCTTTGACTGTCAGATTGAAGCAACCAAGCCTATTACCAGATAGTGAGTCTGCTCCACACTGTAGCACCACAGCACTAGGTTGATACAACTCCATCACCTTTGAGATAATAGGCTTAAATATCTGCCCACAGGCCTCATCATCTATACCATCTCTCATTGGAAAATTGACGGCATAGTATTTGCCTTTTCCTGCACCAATATCCCTCAAGTCTCCTGTTCCAGGAAAGTATTCCCCATAATTATGGAATGATACAGTCATTACACGATCTGTCGTATAAAAAGCTTCTTCAACACCATCACCATGATGGATATCAATATCAATATATAGGAATCTCTGATGATACTTTAGTAATTCAAGGATGGCAAGTACAATATCATTAACGTAACAGAATCCTGATGCTTCTGATTTCTTGGCATGATGTAATCCTCCAGCCCAGTTAACAGCCATATCAGTTTGTTGTCGGTTTAACTTCACAGCCCCAGCAACTGAGCCACCAGTTGAAAGCTGACAAAACTCAAAGAGTCCATCAAACACTGGACAATCCTCTCCAACATTAAATCTCTGCATCTGTTTACTATACTCAGACATGTTATCTGGTCTTACTGAACGTAGAAATTTGATGAACTCATCACTGTGGTATTTTGTCATTTCTTCAGCAGTGGCTTTATGGGGCCTATATATTTCCATTTTTCTATATAAGCCGTAATTTAGCAGCAAGTTATGGGTCATGCGGATTCTCTGAGGTTTCATGGGATGACCCTGTCCATAATAATAATTTCCAATATCACCATCGTAATAGTAGCAAACTTTCTTCTTGCCGCCTCCTTGACTGTACGCCATGGGCTCCCCGGCCACCGCCGCCTCCGGGCTCCGGCTCCTCCTCCTGCTGAAGCTGCTGCTGGTGCCGCCGCGGCTCGGCGGGGAGAGAAAAGGGCTGGGGCGAAGGTGGGGGTGGCAGTCCCGCGAGGAACGGGCTGGCCGGAGGGAGGAGAGGAAAGGACGCCGGGAGGACTCGGTACCACCCGGCCGAGGGGCCGAGAGCGTGGGGGGGGGGGGGCAGCGGCGCCAACTCGCAACACTGGGGGGGGGGGGGGGCAATCCTCTTTTAAGTTCTTAATCTAAGCCTTCTGACATTTGAATTAGGAACAGTAATATATGGTTAAAATTAAACCATGAAGCAAGCCTATATAAATTATTATAAAATCTAACTCTATCACCCAGAAACTCATAAATTAAGATACGAGATTAAAACTCTGCTTTTAATTCTTAGTATTATACCTTAATACTGCAATATATAACATGTTAAATAGATGGATATTTTGTTTTCATTTAAATTGCCTGTTATATAGAGTAAGGCCTTTTGATCTTAACTAAAAGCCAGCAATTTGCAGCTGACAAGTTATTCCTCTGAAAACCTATTTTTCCAATTAATGAAATTCCACAAAGCATTTTTATGTCATCAAATCTACACTCCATTTATTCTAAGTAAAAGGAATGATATCCTCTTTTCTCTTAGTTGTGATTTAGGTCTAGACTCTTTCCCATCCTCTCCTTTTTCCCCTTTGATGCTGGCTTTCTAAGAAGCATGGATTAGCTAAATTGTATGAGATTGAAAACTTGCTTATAAAAAGAAAAATTACCACACTACTTCAGAGGATGCAAGGGTAGGTGGTCTTTGATTCTGTGTCCCCCAAATTATGTATGAATGGCTGCCGCATTGGGGTGGCAGTCACCATTTCCTCTCTGTTCTATCACAGGACATCCCCCCCCTTTTACCAGCCCCTCTTTGTCCTGGGGCTAAGAGTACCTCTTCCACCCAGCCCTGGTCCCATCTTGCCTAAGTGCTGGCAGGCAAATGCAGACAGAAAAAAGAAAGGGATGCTACTAACGTTCCTTGAATACTTTTTGGTGCCAGGAGCTGGGCCAAGCATTTTTACATGTCACTCCACTTATTTCTGTATCAGCCCTGCGAAATTGGAGCTATTAGCCTCATTGGACAGGTGATGCAACTGAGGCCAAATGGAACCTTTAAGAAATGTGCCTGACACTTAACACAGCTAACCAAGGTCATAAAGGAAACAAGGGCAATCAAAAAACTAAAAGGAAGGGACGCCTGGGTGGCTTAGTCAGTTGGGCATCCAACTCTCAATTTCAGCTCGGGTCATGCTCTCAGGGTTGTGAGATGGAGCCCCGTGTTGGGCTCCACGCTCAGTGGGCAGTCTGCTTGGGATTCTCTCTCTCCCTCTCCCTCTGCTCCTCCTTCCCCTACTTGCATGCGTGTGCTCTCTCTCTCTCTCTAAAATAAATAAAGAAAATATCAAAAAAAAAACCTGAAAGGAAGGCAAATTCTGCCCACCCGACTCCTTACCACATCTTTCCAGCCCTCAACCCCGGGGCTCATCTCTGTGGGACTAGGAGGTCCAGTTGTCTCCAGCCTAATGTTCTCAGTGAGCCTTCACCTGTAACTCTGAATAGTCTCTTAAAGTTAACTCTTAAATGTTACCAACAATAAAGCCGTACATACAGCCTCAGAGACAAATGAAGGGATGGAAAGGTCTTTGGACTTCCATTTCCAGAAATATGGAAGACTAAATCACCTAAGAAAAAAAAAAAAAGATCTCCTCAGGGCGCCTGGGTGGCTCAGTTGGTTAAGGGACTGCCTTCGGCTCAGGTCATGGTCCCGGGGTCCTGGGATCGAGTCCCGCATCGGGCTCCCAGCTCAGCGGGGAGCCTGCTTCTCCCTCTGACCCTCTCCCCTCTCATGCTGTTTCTCTCTCTCTTGCTCTCTAATAAATAAAATCTTTAAAAGAAAAAATCTCCTCCTACAAAATAACTAGAAATTCTGTAGTTTTATTTTTTTTAAAGATTTTATTTATTTATTTGACAGAGAGATAGAGAGAGAGCACAAGTAGTGAGAGCGGCAGGCAGAGGGAGAAGCAGACTCCCCACCGAGCAGGGAGCCTGATGCAGGACTCCATCCCAGGACTCCAGGATCATGACCTGAGCCAAAGGCAGACGCTTCACCGACTGAGCCACCCAGGCGCCCTTGTAGGTTTATTTTTAATTTTTTCAATGTGTAACATAACTCAGCCATCAAGAAAGAGGAGGAAATCTCCAAAGGTCAAACGCAAAAAAGATGCTGATACCAGAACAGTAAGCAGATGTTAATGCTTCAACAGCCCTGATGTTTTTACACTTGTCTGTAACTAATATTCAAAGAGATATTAACAGAAATTTTCTGAATTTAGGAAAGTCATAAATCATCAGATTCAGAAAGCACAAACTATAAACAGGATTTTTTTTTAAAAAAGAGAAATTCCAAATTGTAAAGGAAAAACTCAGATTTGTCCTTCCTATGTAGGGAAAAACCTGTCTAGTCTACCTTGTGTGTTGGGAAAAACCCAGTTCTTCCCATCTGTGTTTCTTCTTTACTTTTACAAAGACGCTACCCTCACACAGATCTCCTCCCTTCTGACACTCCTGGTCCCCAAATGTGTGGAGGTTTTTCCCCACACCAAGCAACTCTCTGTGACCCCAGCTTGATGTCCCATAATCCGACTCAATTCTTTTTTTTTTTAACTTTTTAAAGATTTTATTTATTTATCTGACAGAGAGAGAGACAGCAAGAGAGGGAACACAAGCAGGGGGAGGGGCAGAGGGAGAGGGAGAAGCAGGCCTCCCCGCTGAGCAAGGAGCCTGATGCAGGACTCGATCCCAGGACCCTGGGATCATGACCTGAACCGAAGGCAGACGCTAAACGACTGAGCCACCCAGGCGCCCCAATCTGACTCAGTTCTAACACTATCTTTGAGATAGTGCCAGACCCCACAGGTTAAGGGCTCAGGTCCCACAAAACTGCTCACCCTCCCACTGCCTACTTCAGATGCCAATGCAAGTAGTAGGTGCCCAGATTAGCCATAACTTCCATCCAATTTGGCTGCAAATGGGAGGTTGCCATGACTCCCTCCTCAGGTTCAATTAATTTGCTAGAGTGGCTCACGGAACTTAAAGAAACGCTTATATTTACCAGTTTCTTAAAGATATGACAAAAGATACAGCTGACCAACCAGATGAAGAGATATACAGGGCAAGGTCTCGGAGGATTCCCAGAACAGGAGTCACCCACCCTGTGTGGTTGTGTTTGCCAACCTGGAAGCTGTCTGAACTGCCTACTAGTGGGATTTTTATGGAGACTTCATCATGTAGGCATGACCAATTATTAACTCCATTCCCAGCACCTTTCCCCCTCTCTGGAGGATGGGGTTGAGGCTGAAAATTTCAAGCTACTAATCATCACGGCTTGGTCTTTCTGGTGACCAGCCCCCATCCAAGACCCATCCAGGAACCCACTCACAGTCACTCCAATAGCACAAAAGATGCTCCTAGTGCTCTTACAACTTAGGAAAATATAGCGGTTTTAGGAGCTCTATGCCAGGAACCAGGGGCAGAGGCCAATATATATATTTTTTATTATCTCACACAAATCTAAATACTTTGCTGGGGCGCCTGAGTGGCTTAGTCATTAAGTGTCTGCCTTCTGTTCAGGTCATGATCCCAGGGTCCTGGGATCGAGCCCCGCATTGGGCTCCCTGCTCAACGGAAAGCCTGCTTCTCCCTCTCCCACTGCCCCTGCTTGTGTTCCCTCTCTCACTGTCTCTCTCTGTCAAATAAATAAAATTTTTTTTAAAAAAATCTAAATACATTGCTGTCAAATATCAAAGCAAAATATCAGGGTGCCTGGCTGGCTCAGTTCTTAGAGTGTGTGACTCTTGATCTCAGGGTTGTGAGTTCAAGCCCCACGTTGGGCATGGAGCCTCCTTAAAAATACATATATGTATGTGTGTGTGTGTATGTATGTATATATATATGTGTGTGTGTATATATATATATACACCTTAGAGCAGCCAGAGGGAAAAATAGATTATTATAAAGATAAGCTGACAATAGGCATCTCAACAGCAACAAGAAAAACCAGAAGAAGGGTGCCTGACTGGCTCAGTCAGTGGAGTGAGTGACTCTTGATCTCGGGGTTGTGAGTTCGAGGCCCACATTGGGCCAAGAACTTAATTTTAAAAAATTTTAGGGACACCTGGGTGGCTCAGTTAGTTAAGCATCTGACTTGGGCTAAGGTTGTGATCTCAGGGTCCAGGGATAGAGCCCTGCATCCGGCTCTCCACCAGTGGGGAGTGTGATTGTCCCTCTGCCCCTCCCCCAACTCATGTGTGTGCTCTCTCTCTCTCTCATAAATAAGATCTTTAAAAAATACATACATACATACATAAAATGAAAAAAAGTTTTAGGGGTGCTTGGGTGGCTCAGTCGGTAGAGTAAGTGACTCTTAATCTCAGGGTCATGAGTTCAAGCCCCATGTTGTGAGTAGAGCCTACTTTTAAAAAATTTTTAAAGATATATATGTCAGAGGTACCTGGGTGGATCAGTCGGTTATGTGTCCGACTCTTGATTTCAGTTCATGTCTTGATCTCAGGGTTGTGAGTTCAAGCCCCATGTTGGACTCCACGCTGGGTGTGGAGCCTACTTAAAAAAAAAAAAAAAAAGATATGTAGGTCATATAACTTTCAACCTTTTTTCTCATTTCCAAAACTGCCTATACAGTGTACATAAGATAAATCCTTATTTTATACAAACCCAGCAATTATTCTGAACAATTACACTGCACAGTTGGGAGTGACATGTTTCTTAAGTTTCTTAAGACATGTCTGTCTTAAGAAAAAGCATTAATCTGTTAAATGCATACATTTGAAATATACTACAATTTTAACCTTCATTTAACATGTATTTTTTAACATATCCCTAAGAATAAAATTGGCCCGGCTTCTCTCTATCCAAGAGTCCTTGCTCCTCGTCACACATCCCTCTTCAACCACCTTTCCCTTTCCCCCAAATTTTGTTCTAATTTTTCACCTTTCTATTACCACCACCCCATTTCTTTCTACAGAATTCTCAGGCTAGGGGTCCTCAACTCAGGAACCTGTCATTTCTACCTCCCACCCCTACTCAGCCTGC